TTGTTTCATAATTGTTGAGCTTACTTCCATTTCGAGTTAAAGTGTTTGGTGAAGAGATTCGAAGGTCGATCCTATGAGAAGACGACGGCGGATTCCTCTTGACCAGATGTCAATTGGTTTACTGGAACATTCTTGTTGACGATGTTTCCAAGGCAATCTCCTTCAATTCCGGTAAAAACGTGCTAAGCTTTCGTCCTTCATATGTCGGGCATTATCAGATCAGGACATTATACAACTATATTCAAGCTAACGTTATGTGACGGACGAAAGCCGAACACGTTTTTACCGAAATTAAAAGAGATTCCCTTGGAAACATCGTCAACAAAAATGTTCCATTTATACAAATAGACAGCTGACTTATTGGAATCCGTCGCCGTCTGATGGAATAGGCCTTCGAATCTCTCCACTAAACCCTTTATTTGAAATGGAAGTGTGCTCAACATCTAATTTTATTACTCTTAGATTAATTTGCTCATGGCCATCTTTAAAATTGTCCGAAATTTGATAGGGCCCTGTTACTGGTATTGCCACTTATAATAAACATGATTCTACGTTGCTGATTAATTTTAAGTTAAATCCTAATAAAATTTTGCTGCATCTAGTCAGGCCGACTAGGAAGTCAGCCGCACTTGAATTAATTTATTAAGATAGTCCAGATTCTTGCAATTGGATTATGATGAATATTTTATAGAGATTCTACAAGAAATCCTTTTTGTAAATTAAAATTGTTAGCTAGAAGTTGTTTGACCTTGTTTTCGCAACGTGGTCATATTGGTAGTAAAACTTAGAGGAACGCACCTAGTCCGGAGTCAATTGTATGCATGATAATGTCCAAAGTCGAACCATGGACCTGGTACATTCCCAGACGTTTCACCGGCATAATAGTCGGCATCGTCAGTGAGTTTTGCCATTCTTAGCACCATACTACAAGTCTTCAAAGAGACAAGTGAAGCCGATCCTTTGACCAAACGTGTTTTAAACAGTCCTGGTATCTCTCCTTCTGTCCTGGGCTATTCACCTTTCCTATCTCCTTGTATCACGCCTTTACTAACACAACTTTTTGTTTGCTCAATTAAACCTAGTGTGGTGTGCCCTTTTGAGCAGCTTTCATGAGAACCCTCCACACTCCACACTGTCTTTCTCACCCTCTTGTGCTGCGAATGTTGATCAGGGTCTGCCATATTGTTACGCAGTTCTTTTTCCCTTATTAGAGTCTCCCTCTTGCCTCTTAGCATTCGTCTGTTATCTCCCAGGTTCAAGTATTGCACTCGACCCCTCCCACCCAATAACAGTATAGCAGACTCTGATCCACATTCCCAGCACAAGGATGAAGGGAAGTGAGAAGACTAGAATGGAATGTGGAGGGTCCTCATGAAAGCCATTCAAAAGGGCACCACACTAAACTTAAATAAGCTAGGAAAAACTTGTGATAGTGAAGGCGTGATACGAGGATATAGGAAAGGTGAATGGCCCATGACAGTAGGAGAGATACCACAACTATTTAGCACACATTTGGTTTAAGGATTGGCTTCACTTGTCTCTGACGAGTTTTAGTGTGGTGCTACGAGTGGCAAGACTCACTGACGATGACGGCGAAACTTTTGGGAATGTATCACTTCCACGGTCCTACTTTGGAAATTATCATGCATCCAATGGACTCCTGACTAGTTGCGTTTCTCTGATTCTTCCTTCTAATATGACCAAGTTGCGAAAGCAAGGTCAAACCACTTCTATACAACGAAAGGAGACTGCGGCCACACAAAAGGCCACCCTATCTTGGTCTTCATATCTTCGATTAAAGTTGTTGACATTGAAATTTGCCTGAGTAAAGGACATATCTCGAATCATATTTGCTATCTAGCTGGCTTCATCTTCCCTATTTATTGTCGCAGTGAATAAATTATTCAGAATGCCGTCTAATACTTGTTTCTTTACATCTCTTTATAGCCATGGCTCATTTATGCCTGTTTTACTACTTCGTTTTTACGTATTCCACCATTCCATATGGTTACCTTGTCTTCAACCTCTACTATTTCTTTAATTCTAGATCCTCCATTGTATTGCTAAACTTCAAAAGATTTACTTCTTGAATACACCAATTTTTGCTCTTATTATCAATTTAAACTTGTGATATTACCCTGAAAATGTATTTTAGGCCTTTTTTAGCATTCTTCTAGCTCAATTTCGAATAATATTAATGTCGTTATCGAGCGAGCAAACTGTTTGTTCCTTGTTTTCTTGATATCTATATATTCATCTGCATTTCCCTTTCATAGCTTAAAATTACTTTTTTATTATGTCTTTAAATTACTTAATAAAAACTCAGATATAATAAGTATATTTTTAAAGTACTTGGGATGTAGCAAATTCACGGGCGAATGTCATCAAAATACATTAGACTATGTTTGTTGACTCGGCACGAGATAATTTCTCTTTCTCTGGAATCCTAATTAACCTGTGAAAATAAGATGGCAATAAATGGGTTTTGGTTGTAGTCTCCTTCAACTGTATAGTATTATAAGATGTATTCACCCAATTTAGTTTAAGGTGATGAAGGACTGGTAGAAGAAAAATTTTCCCACAATGATATGAGTTGAGCTGACATTTTCATTAAATTTTACATAGCTTTGCTTTCCCAAAAGTTGTTCTCACTTAGTGTTGATAAGACCAATGCGAGGTCGAAACTGCAGTCCACCTTGGATGAGAACAACTTTTGGGAAAGAAAAGCTATGTAAAATTCAATGGAAACGTCAGCTCAACTCATATCATTTGTGGGAAAATTCTACTTATATCAGTCCTTCATCACCTTAAACGAAATTGGGTGAATAAATCTTATAACTGATTTACTGGTAGTCACGAAAAACAATACTTAATTCGAAAAATAATGTATAGTATTAGTTTGACCTCGTTTTTGCTAATTGGTCGGGAAGAAATGTAGGCATTGTGGAATATACCAAATGCTGCGTCCTACATAATATTCATGAGAATTTCCTGCACCGGACCGTTGGCCTGGCACATTCCCAGACGCTTCGCCAGCGCCATTCCTAGCCTATATCTACAACTTATAAAAATAATGATCAGTATTATTATAACAGTTTTAACAGTTCTATAGTCTCATTGTGTCTTTTCCAGCTCCCTTACTCGAGCCACCTGCATCAATCGCAGACCTGCTTTGTGGTAGCAGTAGCTGCTCTTTTGGTGGTCAGGATGCCCAATCCAACCATGGCAACGTTCCCTTGGTGACTAATGGCATCACTTTCAATCGTGGTCTCTGTCTACCTTCGACCGGCCTAAGTCTAGGCCTGGCTGCCTTCGCACCGGCGAGCCATCCAGCTGTACGCTCTGCAGTCGCCGCTTGTCTTCGTCAGTTGGCTACCAGTTTGCCAGCTCATCGAGTTGGGCTGATCATGTCCTGTTGCCAAGCCAGCAGAGCCCTGGCTCAGCGTAGCCACGCCGAAGGCTTGCTTGGCCAGGCGGCCTGTTTGGCCGGTCTCCTGGCTGCCGATGCCCTAGCTACCATGGCATCACGTGTCGGAGCGTCTGCAGCAGCCACTTCGGGTCCTGGAGGTGATGAGAGCGGTGTTGGTGGTGCGGCTGTTGCCCCTGTTGGATCATTTACAGCAAATAACTGTCACTTTACTGGTCTCTCGGCCGGTGTAGGAGCGCCCCTGTTCGCCGGCCTAACTACTCCCGAAGGCGAGGGTACCGGGACTTTTCAGGCTGGAACAAGATGCAGTGCCGGTGCCAGTGGTCTTCATGGTAGAGAGACGATTTTTGGAGCGGTTGATACAGCACCAACTAAACCCTCTTTTGTACCAACTGCAGCTGCACTAGGCCTACCGGCAGCCTCAAGCAAAATGGTAGGCTAGACAATAAATGCAGATATGAGGACAACGATGTTGTGGTCCCTATTTTGGTCGCAATCTTCTTCCCATGTATATAAGTGGTCTGGCCTTATTTTCGCTACTTGTTCGTGTTGTCAGAGCGACCTAGTTGAGCACGCCTTGTCCCAAGTCGTCTGTTGTATTGTTTATAATAATTCCCAGCATTATACCATAT